GCGGCACAAAGTAGGGAAAAAAATCTCCTATTTGTCGAAAGTTGATATTTGATGTGACAAGGAGGGTAACGGAGTAGGTACGAAAGAGGTACGATCGAGAGACTTCCGAGGAATGAAATCGGAAAACTGTCATGGAGGCAGGCTTGGACACAGCCACATTTAGATGATAAAGCTAATTTTCATGAAAGTTGGCATTTGAGTCATAAAATGTCTATATGCTCATTTTAAATATATTTCGACTTTGTATCTTGTTAAGTTCTTCAGGAAGAATTATTTGAAACATCATAGTAAATCAGAATTATCATTTATAAAATATTATATTATTAGAAACCAACTTTTAGTCGCATTATAGCTCGTAGAAGCAACTTCCGACGATAAAAATAGAAAATCGACAATATCTCGGAAACTTTCAATGGGGCGGTATACATATATGTTGATTGTATTAGATAGAAGCCATCGTGATGAATATTTGGAGAAAAAAAAATGAATCGGTCAAGTCGTTTCTGAGATATCAGAGAAACAAGTTTTACACATAAAATGCAATATCTCCGAAACTAATCGGTCGATTGCGACCATCCATTTATTTTCATAATATCTACAACCATACCAAATTTAAATTTTTTTTATCGATTATTTTTCAAGTTATCAAGCGTACAAGGATTTCAGCAAAGAAAATAGAAAAAGGGCCATAACTATGTAACTTCTCCATAGTCGGAATAAATATCTTTATCAAAATCGATAGATATTTTTGTGGCTAATAGTTTATATGGCTAATATTTTTTATGGCTAATATTTTGAAGAAAAAAACGATCGGCTGAATCGTTCTCGAGATATTGAAGAGAAACGATTTTCCAATGAATGAAGATATCTCGAGAGCTAATCGGTCGATCAAGCAATACTCGTTGTATTAAAAAAAAACAAAAATCTGCACACTGTAAGGAATTTTGGGAATTCCTTAGGCCATCCGTGGACCATCGAGAACTTCAGATTATGCGTGAGTCAGACAAAGATCCAGAGCCTTAGATTATTTAATAATTCGATAAGAAATGTCGCGTTAATTATCGTTTCGTGTGATTTGCGTACGATTGTTGCGAGCGTTGTGCGGTTAGTGATGAGGATTCCTTGTACTTTCGGGTAATATTTACCGGTTATATTTTTGGGGTGATAGATTTCAGTTGGAAGGAGAAAAAAATCCTTGCGAAGTTGAATTTTTTAGTTAAACACGAAAACACAATTTTTGACTGAAAGTTGCCTAACTCAATGAAAAATGATAATAATCAATTATCTACATGTCAATTTGAAGCTTATTTAATGGGCTTTCTAATGAGTACAAAATATATAGGGTTCTTTGAAGAGGGAGCTCGGAATTAGCGGCAAAACCAGGAAAATGATCAGCGCTACGGTCACAGATTGTTCTAAGGGGGAATAGAATAATGTTTTCACGTGTAAACTTCATAATCCAGACTGCGAGATGAACGACACTGAGAAAAAAAATTATTTTTGCCAAATACTCATTTACTGTAGAGAAGCATTTATTTTTTCTATTGAATTATGCTCAGGTGAGCCTGAATAGATTTCAATTATGACGATCATGTTGCTCTAGAGGATGACTATGTTGCATTTGATCTTGGATGAACTCCTCCAATGATTATTCATTTTTCTTCAATTTCTTATTTTCTAGAGGGAAGAATTTCGATTAATTTTTTAATGTTGATAATTATTGAGGGAGTGCACTCAAAGTAATAATTAACATGCCCATCTTCTGGAGCAATATATTAATTATTATAATTGACACCTAATAAGGATCGCCTGGGAATGACTTGACTGGAGAAATACGACATTGAAAAAATAAATACTTCTCTCAAGTAAATGAATATTTGGAAAAAATAATTTCTTTTCTCAGTGGATGTTGATTTGTGAATGGAATGCAGCAACGCACGTGCAAAAACAACAATTAACATGAAACCCATGAAGAAAATTACTGTGTGATAAATAACCTCAGTATTGCAGTAGAAGATTATTTTGTAGTAAACGTTTCTTCAGGTTAATCCAATGGTATATTGACGTTTACTCAATATCTGGACAGTTCACTTCAATCAAATCTTATTATGAAATTCGAAATCTATTGACTTTTTATTATCGAATATCCAATAGAATCAGCGCACAACACAAATAGAATTTTTCAATAGAATTGCAATAGACATCCTGTAGAAAAGCCGTAGAATTCCTATAGAACTCCAGTAGAATGTTCTAGTCTAGTTAATTCGCTAGGATTTCTATTGAATTTTTTCATGAGTGTGGATTCGAGAACCGAAGTGCCTTGATTTGACTACACGGAGAGAAATTTCCTAGAAAAATTCTAGTACGAGTACTGGAAATAATTACAATCCACCGGCTGTAAAAAATTCTAGTGATGTTAAGGTAAAATTTCTTGGTATTTCTGGTAAAATTTCTGGGGATTTCTGTGAAATTTTCACAGAAATACGGGGAAACATTCACGTTTTCCCCAATAAAATTTCTAGTGCTGGCACTGGAATTTTGTCCTGGCCGTCACTTTGCGCCTCTTTTCCCGTGCTAGCACTAGAATTTTTCTAAAAAATTTCTCTCCGTGTACCATGGGTACTGAATTCCAGTGAAAAGTACTGAGAACTAGTACTTTTTCTTTGATTCTCAGAGAATATTCTTAGAATTAGTGGACATTTCACTGAAATCCAAAACATTTTTGCTCTCTAGATTTCAGTACCACAAAATTCGTATTTCATTACTACAGAAACTTTTTTTCTCTGTGAAATTGATTAGGGTAATGTGTAATTTTATTAGGGAATTGGGTGGAAAATTTTCTAAATGATGAAGCGCTCATTCAGGCTTTCCTTTCATGGTCTCCTCTTTCAACTCAAGAGCCATTTCTTGTAGAAATGCTCGACTAATATTTATAGAGAAATCCAAAAGAAAATCGATAACATCCTGCAGTAAATCATTTTTTCAATTGAAACATCACCTCGTGTTTTCAATTGCGCTAAACCGAACGTTCCATTCAAATAACTGACAAACCACTCAATCAGTTCTACTCAACATCTAATCAGATCCAAATTACATGAAGACACTTCGAATACACGGAAGAAAATTCCAATTGCATCGTATCGGCGAGAGAATTTCTGAGAAATCATGGAATAATATTTTTGTCATCCACAGAAACACAAACCCACAGGAACATCTCTTCAAAATTGCCAGAACAAGATAAGGATGTCCAAGTTAACTTTCGTAAAGTATCCGATAATTTTTAAGGTCGTGGGGGTATTATGCCTGAGAATGTACTTCAATTAAAAGTACAAAATTAGTATTAATTTTTCCCTAGAATGAATTTTTTCCTATCGTAAAAAAAAGAAAGGAAATCGATTTCGATATCCTATTCTAAAAAGAACATTGCTATTCTAAAAAGACATTTAAAGTCGATAACTATCGATATCTCGCGGATCTGCCACGCTTATTCCTCATTGTTTTCAATCGTCTGAGGCGGAAAATTTAATTCTTGATTAATTTAATTTTGAGATTTTCAATTATGATTGTTACAATTACAGTGCACTGTAGCGCGCGTCCGATCTCGTAACTCGAAAATCTCGAATCAATGTCACCGTAAGACTGAAACTGAAGCGTCACTACGTGAGGAGATGAGAAGGCGGGTGCGTAGCACGCGCGACTGATCTCGTAATGTAATAGTATATTTCTAACCTAGGGAGGAAAAATAAAGGATCCTCAGCCGCCAGTGCAATTACCAGCCGAGCCGAAGGCGAGGTTGGTAAGCACGCGGCTGAGGGTCCTTTATTTTACTTCCCGTGGTTAGAACGCGATTTTCCGTCTCGGCGTAGGCGCAAAGTCAGAGTTCCCTCCCGCGAAGCGGGAGGGAAATGTAACTTTGCGCCCGCCGGGACGGAAAATAGTAGATAATTGTGTATCAAGGGAAGAAAACAGGACATTTCAACCCGCATGTGGATTAATGCCCGAGGCAAAGGCGAAGACGGTAAACACGCGGGTTTTGATGTCCTGTTTTCCTTCTTACGTGCACGGAGAGAAATTTTTAATAAAAATTCCTACCGTTCCATAAAAGTTTATCATGAGTCTCGTTTCCCCATTTCTATTCCGAAAATTAGTAAAAATTATTATATGATGATCAAACTTTATTGTATGTTAGAGAAATTTTATCCTGATAAAAATAAAAATTACCGTGCCGGTAGAGTAAAAATTACTGCACTGGTAGGATAAAATTTACCAACCGTTTAGAATTTTCGTTGTTATCTACATAAAAATTATTGGACTGGAAGGGTAAAATTTATTATGCGTCAGGATAAAATTTCTCCAACGTAAAATAAAATTTGATTATCATATATTAATTTTTACTATAAATGTCGGGATAGAAATGTGGAAACGATGACTTACGGAGAAAAAAATTCCAGAAAAATTACTGTGCCAGCACGGTAAAATGGGTTCGTTTTGCATTATACCTGAAAAGTCTTCATTTTGAATAGTTGACGATCAGAAGGAAAACTCCCTTTTTTCCATTTTTTTCGTTTTTTTCATGATGTATATAATGGATCGTAAAACAAACATGAAGCAAACTCGAAGCTCGATCAATTATCTCAATAGAGAAAAAGCCGCAAAAGGTCTCGAAAAAAATCAAAGATAATCCATAAAACTGATAACCGTTAGCCCCAGCTACTCTTACGCATTTGAATAATTCCACCAGTATTAATTTAACGGTCCAGTAAAATCCCCAGACTGTGCATCCTCATGAATAAGTGGTTTGAAAGCCACTCGAACCACTTTAACACCCCTCAAGCCCACACACATCCTCAGCCATTTTTCACCACTTTATTAATCCTTTTTCCCTGACGCAGCTACATCAACATCCTGGGGTGTGGCGGAAGTCTCCCAGATCGGATGATTGGAGTAAAATTCCACTTCAAAGGATCACAAGAAAGTCAAATTAAAGGAATAAATAAAAGATGAAAATGTCTTGTTCTGAGGAGAGCTTCCGGTTGAATGATGCGGTATCGGTGTGCTCGATGAGGAGCAAAGCGATGATTGACGCCCTCTTTGAGGACACTCGATCCGTCTGCAGTTCTACGTACTCAGGATGGTATGCGAGCGCTCGTGGGTGCTCGATCAATCATGAGGACACCAGTACCGATGGCATTAAGAGGGCCAACTGTGCTGTCCAAGCCAGGATCGAAGCCATGTTTGCATCGGTAGAGGCCGAAACTGGAAAAGCTGGTGAATGTGCTGCGGCTGTACTTCCGGTGAGTTTGCCATTAGTTTCTTGGAGGTTCTTTGCAATTATTTATTTTTCATGAGGATGCTATTAACGTTGATTGATGTTATCAACTTTCGAGAGCAGTATCGAAATGGGGGAAGAATGTCTTATTTACACAGCAAAAACGAATGTTTGAATTCCACACACCTTTTGTAGACATTTTTCAGATACTAAAAAACGTTTGAATAAAATGAAAATTTGTCTGAATTTCAAACATTAATCAAGATGTTTAAGTATCTGTTCGTCTGAAATTCAGACAAATTTCCGTTCTATTCAGACGTTTTTTCGCGTCTGAAAAGTGTCTACAAAAGGTGTGTGAAATTCACACATTCGTTTTTGCTGTGTAGTGCAGAGTCAATTGACTGGGAGAGGTGATCCGGTAAAAAAGGGATAAGGGTCCGTTTTTGATTGTGGATATTTAGGTAGTTAGGGAAAAATGGGAAAGAACGGGCCGGATTTAAGTTATAATACCTCCAAATGACACGAGTTGAATGAATCAGGTCTCGGTTTTTAATTGGGAAAATACACTGTTAGGAATTTTTTGACACTTCATGGAAAATATGACAGTAATTCTCATAAGAGTGACATTGAATCGGATTTAGGAAAAAAAACCGATATGAAATTTCGTGAGTTGATGAGTTTTCAGTGGGAGTAAAGTTCTTCCAAGTACTTCCAATCCATCACAATGCGTGTGTAAAATTTCACTTTACGCATAAGTAATAAAATATGATATAGTGTTACTGGCGCGTAAAATTTCACTTTTTCGTACGCACGCATAACACATCCTGTTTTTTGTGCTACCTGTTAAGTTCAATGTTCAAAACGGTAGTGGGGATAAATGGTGGCTTTTGTGCACAAGTGCTTCGCTTTACGCACTCGAAACTTATTTTACGCATACTCTTGAACTTCAGGCACGCCGTGCGGAATACAACTACTTTACGCGCACTAAACCGTTTCGAAAAGTGAAATTTTTAGGCAGGTATCACAAAATAATATACTGTGCTGCTAGTGCGTAATGTTCCATTTTTTCGCATGCACGTGTAACACATCCGATTTTTTGTAGAACCTGCCGAGTTCATTGTTCCAAACAGTCATGGGGACAAAGTGGTGACTTTTGTGCATGAGTGCTTCGCTTTACGCACTCGAAACTCATTTTACGCACTCTTTTGAACGTTAGGCACGCCGTGTAGAAAACAACTACTTTACGCGCACTAAACCGTTTCGAAAAGTGAAATTTTTAGGCAGTTATCACAAAATAGTATACTCTGCTACTAGTGCGTAAAGTTTCATTTTTTCGCACGCACGTGTGACATCTGATTTTTTGTAGAACCTGCCGAGTTCATTGTTCCAAACAGTCGTGGGGATAAAGTGGTGTCTTTTGTGCACGAGTGGTTCGCTTTGCGCACTCGAAACTCATTTTACGCATTCTCTTCAACTTTAGGCACGGCGCGCGAAAAACAACCACTTCACGCACACTAAACCGTCTCGAAAAGTGAACTTTTCAGGTAAATATCACAAAATAGTATATTGTGTTACTAGTGCGTAAAGTTCCATTTTTTCGCATGCACGTGTGCCGCATCCTACTTTTTGTGATACCTGCCAAGTTCACCGTGCGGAACGGTAATGGGGGTAATGTGGTCGTTTTTGTGTACGAGTGTATAAAATTCAAGATTGTGCGTAAAGTGAATTTCGAGTGCGTAAAGGGAAGCTTTGCATTAAAGAAGGGAATATATAGCGCTCCACATCTTTGTGACGCCATAGAAAATGATTGGATGGGATTTGGATGACGTAGGAGGGGAACCGGAATTATTCTCAATATGAATAACCAGAAAATTTGTAATGGAAAAAATGGATAGTCCAGAGCGGGATTTGAACTCGGGACCTATCGATTATGCATCGGGTGCTCTCCCAACTGAGCTATCCGGCGCCTAGTCATTTCTTCATTTCAAATTTCTGGTACATATTGAGCTCCGCTGTCCTTCTTACAGCATTCATTCATTTTTACTATAAAGAAGGAAATTTGTATTGGGAACTCTAGCACTGAATGACGCGCTTTACCGGCCGTAGCGCGTACTAGTGCGAACAAGTAACGTGGAGCCACTAAATGGGTTTATGTATACAAAGAATTATTTTTTGCTGGTTATTATTAAATTTCTCATGATTTATATTGTTTGTACATATCAAGACAGTTCCTAAAGGCAAAGAGAATACTATTTTTCAATCAGAAAATGGAGTTCGAGATCAGAGTAACAAAAAACAATGAATTTTGCAGTGTGCCTGGCTGCAAGAGTTCAGTTTATCGAAATCCTACAGATAGTGAAATTCTTCCAATTTCCCGTTAAAAAACAACAGTTTCGGAAAATGGAAGACGAAGTTCAGTGAAGAGGAAACAGTTGATCGTTTAATTGCTTGGAATAAAATCTTGGAAATCGACAAGCCAATGACAAATTCACAAAAAAAATTGAAACTTCTTGATTCGATGGCATGAAAGATTTGAGGAAACTCAAATACACAATCAGAAAACGACTGATTAAATTAAAAATCTATAGGAGAAATTGAATTAATAAAAGCGCTCATGTTCAACAAAATACTTGGAAGCAATATTGTGAAAATGAATTTGTCGGAAGTAATTGAATCCTTTGAAATCTCCAGGAAGACGATATTATGATTAATTAATCCTATTAACTTTCGAGTCGGGTATTTAAATGAATGAGGCAAGAGGTAAATGGTTGAATGATCCCTCAATTATCAAGAGATTTGCACATTTCCGGTGATAAATAAATTCTTAATTAAACACTAGTACAACGTAAATAAATTATCCAATTTGTTTCCATTCGTCTGTTGATGTTTTCTTCTCATCCGTGACGTGATTTCGGGCACGAAAATATATATTCCATCGGGTAATAATAACAATCATGCTGCTGCCTACCTGTCACTGAACCGCCGAGTGAAATTCCCTTCGTAAATATGGACTGTTATTATTCCCATATCGAAACACTAAATCTTCATCGACACGCAATGCGAATTTATGCACGAGATGAGGCGCTTTGTTTTAATAGAAGATCAGCGTAAGATAAATATCAAGATGCTTTTTCTTCTTTTTCGAGAGACGAGGGACTTCCTGGAGAGCTCTCACTAGTCGTAAAAAGGCAGACGAGACGGAATTTAGAACTGATTCCAGTCTCATTGTTGTCTCCTTTCTCCTTGCTGAATTAAAACTTTACTTTCATTATCTTTATCCATTAATTATTGAAGTAATCTTTTCAATATCGATTTCTGGGGAGTGAAGGTTACTACAGTACAAACGGATTTGTAGATTCTTCTGCAAATATCTTCAGGAATAATATGGTTCAAGGTATAATTTGATTCATCAGAAGACCTTGCTTTAGGAATTCCTTTGCACACTGATACACGGAGAGAAATTTTTTAGAAAAATTCTAATGCTAGCTCGGGAAAAGAGGCGCAAAGTGACGGCCAAGAAAAAATTCTAGTGCCGGCACTAGAAATTTTATTGGGGAAAATGTGAATTTTTCTTCGTATTTCTGTGAAAATTTCACAGAATCCCCAGAAATTTTACCTTAACGGCACTAGAATTTTTCACAGCCGGTGGATTGTGATTTTTTCCAGTACGCGTACTAGAATTTTTCTACAAAATTTCTCTCCGTGTAGAAAGGATTAGTTATTGCTAACGAATGAATTTGGTTGGAGACATAAGGGTCTATTCGGTCTCACCAAATGTTCATTCGTTAATAGTTAATGAATGTATATTTGAGGAGCCTTGTTTGACTTGACTTTCGCCATTCAAGTGAACCATTCGTTAACTATTAACCATTATTCATTTGGTTATATTCAACTCTACCATTCGTTAATAGTTAACGAATCTCGTTTGGAATAAATGAATCGGTCTATCAGTGCATAAATGACAAAAAAAATCATATTTTTTAAAATATCTATTACTTCTAAATCTATTACTTCTAAAGATGTACCACGACGATGGCTGTGTGTTTAGAGCGCGGGGTTAGCACGTGGACGACTCGGGTTCGATTCCCCGCGGGGGGGGGGGGGGGAGGAAATGATTTATGAACGCTCCAATTCTCACAGATTCATTGTCCGAGAAGGAGTCTCGTAAAGGACGATTGTACCTGGTCAAGGTTTTTCCCTCAAGTGAGGTTTTTCCTTGGCCCTCGGTGAATGCGGTACAGGGAGTTGAGGGATGGGAAAGAAATTAATTGCAAAAACCAGATCGGGTATACGAACGGACAAAAAAAAATATTGAGGCCAATTTGAAAATTTCGAATGTAAAAGATCCAGAATGGTCCAGCGGCGATTAATCCAGAAGCTGACGCTTCGAAAAATCATGGCAGGTTCTAGTGAATTGGAAAAAACTTCAAACCCATACAATAGCTTTCAGTGAGGGAATGTTTACATTAATTTTACCGTAATTTGATCGTGACTTTAGCGCAAAATTATGTAAAAATGCCCCTACGAAGCGAATATTACGGAACTCACAGTTCACTCATCGATTACGGAATCGATTCAAAAAATTTAAGTGACGGCCTGGTAATTTTTTACAGGAGATTCAGATGAAAATTACGGAACGCTCTGGAAAAATTCCGTGAGAGTTCCGTAAAATTTCTTACAACCGCATTTCGCTCCAGAATTACGGAAAAGATACGTAATTTTTATTGAATATTTTTCTCCGTGTACAAAATATGAGATGTCTGGTTTCCCGAGAAATCACAGAATATTCTATAAAGTTATAGAGCGGTCTAGACCGGTACAGAATCTTCTAAAAAATGTAAGAAATCATTTGAAAAATCCTCCCGGATGATTCGTTTTTCATGAAAATGATTAGAAATTAGATAAATTCCCACCGCTCCAATTATCGTTAATACATCTCTCCCACTGGGCCATTACCCGGGTAGAAATTCAACCGGAGATTCAGCCGCAACTTGGGTGAGCGNTAGCTGGGGCGAAGTGGCGTAT